TGGCTGGAGACGGCTTGAATGGGTAATGAGGAAAAACTTTAATATAACAGCAAATGTACAATGTTTCGACAAGGTTTTGTCATCAAAACCTGGTCGAAACATTGTACATTTGCTGTTATATTAAAGTTTTTCCTCATTACCCATTCAAGCCGTCTCCAGCCATTATTAGTCTCAAAGTGGGTTCCTCGTCATCGAATTTGTTTTAATTTATGTTGCAATTTATTTATATATTTTTAAAGCAATAACAAATATAATTTTTTTTTAAATTACTTGGATTGTAAGGGTTCCTGCTTTATCGTTGCAGTGGTGTTTAATTCCTACCCTTTGAATTTTTTTTTATTTTGTTTAAAAAAAGTCCAAATGAACACTGTATAGAATATTGGTTGAGAATTCATATTACACCATATTTTCCGATATCTTATTGACAAATTTTAAAATCATAAGTTTATTTGATAAGGTTTTAATACAAATTGTCGGGAAAAAAAAAGCTTCAAACATATTGATGTATATTTCTTTATATACAGAAGTAATATAACATAGATACTAAAGAACATTAGTGAACTAAACCATAAAATTGTTTTAGATATTCTTATGTGTATTGTATTCTCAGACCAAAATAAAATGATACCTATTGTGATCAGGAATAGTGCGTGTCGTTTTCTGTGTCTCGATATATTACACATCTATTTAACTAAAATCAAATGAGAAACGCTATACGAGACTGTTCAATATTGACAACTCCTGGTAGCTCAGCGGTAAAGTTGAGAGCTTATAATGCTAAACGTAGGAGGCTCGATCCCTGCTGTGGGTACAAAGCAGATAGTCCAGTGTGCATTTTTGTGCTTGAAAGGTTCAAAGGCGACACCTAGTGATGATACTATATATTAAAGTTGTTTTTTAAAGATTATAAAAACAGTTAATCGTTTAGTCGTAATATATTAAATCACAAACTATGCGCATAAGTCCCAAACTTATCTCGTTAATTAAAAGTTTATCAGTATACTTGACAAACAATCCAATCGACCTAATTTAATTGTAGCATTACTAGTGTATTTTATTACTTAGCTGATTACTGATGAACAGATATGGCTTTACTCACTTCAAAGGACCATCGCTAAATCTAATCAACAAAATAAATGGGGAATTATTCAAAATACCGACTAGGCGAAAGTTTCCATCTGTTTTCCTAAAATCGTATTAGTTAAGTTTTTATTTACATTTCTTTCTCTGTAGCTTGTAGATTTATGGATAATTGAAAGTCAGAAAAATAATCGTAGCACAGTACTTAAAAATATCTGTGGCAATTAAAATCACGTATTTAAAAAATATATTTACATTTGTTTGCTTGATAATCGCCATGAGCTATCTGTGTTTTGGCTTCCGCGGGTATTGAAACTCGATTTTTAACGGTATAAGCCCCAGACTTATCGCTGAGATCAGGGGCATATGTAGCATTAAGGTGACTGTTTTTCTACATGTCATTAACATTCGCTATATTTGGACACGTTTCTTTATCAGGAATATAATTAATAACGATTCTTTGAGGAGTAACCAACGCGAATAGCTAACACGCAGACATACAGTTCTCGTGACCGAAACATTGATGAGCTTTGTTTATATAAATATCCATTGTGACGAAGAGGTCACTTTTGACTAAATGTTTCAAAAAATCATACTGGAAGATGTCAAATAGTATGGGAATTGAACCTAGAATTTAGTGTAAACAGAAAACATGTTGGTAGCTTATCCATCCTAAATGTGGTTTATATTTCATCCGTTAGTGACAAGATAAAAGTACGAGTCCGAAGTGAAGATACGGTTTTATTAATAACCACAAACTTGTTTTCAGTTCTGTACAGTAAGCAGCTTTAATATACAAGACTGTTTTCACTCTTCTTTTTTTTTTTCAGCATCAATTGTTTTTGCTTGCCAGTACTACAGTTTAGAAGTGGTTCTATCATCGTGTGAAAAATAGGCACGTTCACCAAGTATTTCACTAGTAAAACTAAACGCACAACTTAGTTTTATACATGATTTAGGAACGGAACATCATTATCTTTGAAAATTACATCGATGTAATTTGTTAATATACACCTGGAAAAAAGTTAAGCA